ATCATTTCCTGTTTTGAGGTCTTGTTCATTTGTTATGTTCGTTACTGTTCTAGTTTCAGTGGTATTACTGATAGCTAAAGAATCAACATTTTCATGAAGTGCACCCGATGCACCTTTAGTCACCTTGTGAGGGAGATTTGTCATCAAGATATGTTGTAGATCATTTCCTTCATTGCAACTACTTGGTGAGTCCGATGAACATGGTATATTTTCATCTTTAGCATATTCGATTAATTTGAGTTTTCTATTTCTTCTTTTGCTTCCATTTTTTGTTACAACTGTGGTTGAATATCCAAATTGTTCTGCCATATTTGAAAGATTTGCCTCACTGCTGTTATTTGAAGAAGACGATGATGTTGATTCACCTTCATTGATATTTTGTTTTGATTCATGTGACCTCTTTGCTCTTCCACTATGTATCTCTGCTACTGATACATTACATTTCTGTGTTGTTTCCACAGCTTCACGTATACACTCATCATCATTATCACTACTTGTTGAAGATGCAGCAGGGTGTTTTCTATGACCTATTATCCCATGTTTTCTTTGTCTCCTTTGTTTCTTAAAATCATGATCTTTATCGCCAGTGGACCATGAATGTGATTGCTTGCTTCTCCATGAATCTTTTCCTGCTCCAGTGAATTTTTCTTCATTACTTAGTTGTTTGTCATGTAACCCAATTCGCGATCCTGTATTATGTTCTTTTGTGAATTCTGTTGTGTTAATTCCTTCTGAATAATGTGTAGATTTCATTTCTATATCCGAGATACTGTTTGGCTGAATATCCGCTCCATCACTTTTAATATTCATTGCCCATGCAGAATGTGGGTGTTCATTTACATCACCTTCCAGTTCCATACTCTTTAAATTTTTAATGACATTCTTTGTTCTGGGAATTTCACTTCCAATTTTCTGTACCTGAGAATTTTCGTCTGCTTTAGAGTCATTGTATGCTCCATCACTTTGTGAATCATTTCCTGTTTTGGAGTCTCGTTCATTTCTTAGGTACGTTACTGTTTTAGTTTCAGTGGTATCACTGATAGCTAATAAATCAACATTTTCATGAAGTGTACGTGATGCACCTTTAGTCACCTTGTGAGGGAGATTTGTCATCAAGATATGTTGTGAATCATTTCCTTCATTGCAACTACTTGTTGAGTCCGATGAACTTGGTATATTTTTATATTTAGCATATTCGTTTAATTTGAGTTTTCTATTTCTTCTTTTCCTTCTATTCTTTGTTACAACTGTGGTTGAATATCCAAATTGTTCTGCCATATTTGAGAGATTTGCCTCACTGCTGTTATTTGAGGAAGACGATGATATTGATTCACCTTCATTGATATTTTGTTTTGATTCATGTGACCTCTTTGCTCTTCCACTATGTATCTCTGCTACTGATACATTGCATTTCTTCGGTGTTTCCACAGCTCCAAGTATATACTCATCATCATTATCACTACATGATGAAGATGCAGCAGGGTGTTTTCTATGACCTATTATCCCATTTCTTTGTCTCATTTGTTTCTTAAAATTATGATCTTTATCGCCAGTGGTCCATGAATCTGATTGCTTGCTTATCCATGAATCTTTTCCTGCTCCTGCGAATTTTTCTTCATTACTTAGTTCTTTGTCATGTAACTCAATTCGAGATCCTTTATTATGCTCTTTTGGAAATTCTGTTGTGTTAATTCCCTCTGAATAATGTGTAGATTTAATTTCTATATCTGAGGTACTGTTTGATTCAATATCCGCTCCATCACTTTTAATAGTCATTGCCCATGCGGAATGTGGGGGTTCATTGACATCACCTTCCAGTTCCATACTCTTTGTAATGACATGCTTTGTTCTGGTGATTTCATTCCCAATTTTCTGTACCTGAAAATTTTCGTCTGCTTTAGAGTCATTGTATGCTCTATCACTTTGTGAATCATTTCCTGTTTTGAGGTCTCGTTCATTTCTTAGGTACGTTACTGTTTTAGTTTCAGTGGTATCACTGATAGCTAATAAATCAACATTTTCATGAAGTGTACCTGATGCACCTTTAGTCACCTTGTGAGGGAGATTTGTCATGAAGATATGTTGTGAATCATTTCCTTCATTGCAACTACTTGTTGAGTCCGATGAACTTGGTATATTTTTATATTTAGCATATTCATTTAATTTGAGTTTTCTATTTCTTCTTTTCCTTCTATTCTTTGTTACAACTGTGGTTGAGTATCCAAATTGTTCTGCCATATTTGAGAGATTTGCCTCACTGCTGTTATTTGAGGAAGACGATGATGTTGATTTACCTTCATTGATATTTTGTTTTGATTCATGTGACCTCTTTGCTCTTCCACTATGTATCTCTGCTACTGATACATTACATTTCTTCGGTGTTTCCACAGCTCCAAGTATATACTCATCATCATTATCACTACTTGATGAAGATGCAGCAGGGTGTTTTTTATTGCCTATTATCCCATGTTTTCTTTGTTTCTTTTGTTTCTTAAAATCATGATCTTTATCACCAGTGGACCATGAATCTGAATGCTTGCTTCTCCATGAATCTCTTCCTACTCCTGTGAATTAGTTTTCATTACTTAGTTCTTTATCATGTAACTCAAT